AACTATAGTATGGTGAACAAAGGATGTCATAGATACAAGACTCAATAATAAAAATGAAACTTGTGTTCTGTGAGCATAAATTTTATATCGTTAAGAAACTATTGTATAAAATTATCCATTATGGAACCTTATATCTTTTGTTTATTATAATATATTACTTGTATATGTTATATTTGTACTCACAGAACATCTTTGATACACCATCAAAAACTATCCATTATTGAATCTCGTGTCTATGACGTTTTTTGGTCGTCACATTGTGAAGACTAACTCATTTCATCGTAATTCATTCATTTTTTCATGTAATTAGTATGAAGTCCTTTAGTTATAAATACACATCTGAAAATAACTTTGTTGAACCTTCGAAATAATTCTGTAGGACTCCCAAATCGATTGAAAATATCAGAACGTTTTGTAATATTCCTCATAATGCTTGAGATTTCTACGTAATTATTTTAATGGTCTAACAAAATTGTTTTTCAGTTCTGTGTGTGTGTGCATCTATTATAATTAAATTTTTAGATTTTAGAAATTTTTAGACTTTAGCAAAATCGTTCTTTTCTTATACGATAATTCGCACTCATCGAAGAGAAAAAAGAGATAAAAATTATAAAAAAAATAGTATCTCTCTATTTTTTCCTTCGTTTTCCATCATGACAGGTGTTGTATTATCTTTCTGGCTATAACTCGACTAACCAGCTATACATTTTTATTACGTCACTCCTGCTTCTGTTATGTGGTAAAACCATTATTACGAAAGGTTCTTCGGGATTTATGCTGCGAGAATAAATAAACCATCCATCAATCTATCAAGTCTCATTCAGTGAATATAATTTACTTCACGCGAACCGGAAAGGCAAAAACGGGGATGGTGGAGAGAGAGAGAGAGAGAGAGAGAGAGAGAGAGAGAGAGAGAGAGAGAGAGAGAGGGTTGAAGCGGAGTTCCCGGGCGTGATCTGGATAACGAGAGCTTACCGTGCAGCGCGCGCTGGTGCCACTATGGATATTTTCACATGGAAAGTTATTGAAATACTAGTGACGTGTACCGTGTGAAGAAAGTTTCTCCGTTGGTGTGACTGGTGAAATTAATTGAATCGCTTGCTTACTCGCTTGTGAGCGCGTTCGTTCCGCGTCGCGAAATGCGTCGGCTAAACTTTTTAATGAATGTCAACTACGAACGATACATTCGGATAAATGATCCTGTTTTCTGGCACGCAATTTGCCGGACCGCCGGGCCGTGCGATCGCCACGCTGGGAATGTTGATCGCGACGATTTCGTCCATTGTAAAAGTTTGGAGCGGACTGAAGCGGCGTATTAGGCGCGTCCTCTCTATCCGACATTCTATCGGATATCGGTCACTTCGTAAAACGAATCGAAGTACAATTTCCGGACGTCCCCACCGTCTGTAATGTCCGCGGAATTTTCTGGCCCTCGTAAATTCTCCAAGTTTCGTGCCCACGCGAAACTTTCGTCTATCTCTCCGTTTGTTTGTCCGCCATTCGCATTTCTTACAGCGACGTAGGAAATTTCACAAGGATTTTTCGATGGCTCTTGCTGAAATGGTGGAATATAGAGGCGAACTTTTCGAAATTGTTTTTAACGCGTTGTAACTGGAACTTCGAGGGATTATTCCGAGATACGCGGCTAATGGCAAAGTTTTCATGAAGTGGAGGTCCTATATATTTCTTTCGATGCGGAATATCGGTCGCGCCAGCCAAGGCGAGCACGCCCGTTCTACGCGTGTGCGAATCGAAGAGTAATTTCCGCCCCGTTCAGGCGGTATCAAGCGGGCAGCTGTAAATTTCTGCGAGCTTTTAAGGTGTCGTATTCTACGGACAGATCGGGATTTCGATGGTAAAATTTTAAGAGCGCGTACTTACAGGCTATTTTATTCGGCTCATCGTGGGTTTTTTTTTATAATAGACATGTTATTCGATATTGCTGCAATGGATTCCAAGCTAATATTTCGAAGAAAGTAATTGAATTATTGAGAACGACAAAACATAACGGAAATTGAACACTGAGTTATTCTCTCTACTGTATATAATTCATTAACAAGTTATATACTCACGATATTAAAATATAAAAAAGCAGCGATATGAGTACAGCGCGATAATTGATGCGAATAAAATAATAAACAATTTAATTAATTACAAATAAAATTAAACATAAAAATAAGAAGTAAAATGTCTATATGAGCTACCGTGATTGTTGAAATTATTACAAACTGAGTTTATACTTCTACACTGCCAATGTTAGAGAAGATTCAATCCAGAATCAAAACGTTTGCAATTTAATTTTGTTGTTACAATTTAACAAGTACATTCTGTCTATAATTATTTGCAAATTATATCTTGTCGCCTTACAAATACATTATTTATACACTAACAACCGCGGAGACTCATATAGACATTTTTTACTTGTATTTATTTGATTTATTTTAAAAACCACAAAACTTTTAATTTTTATTTTTATAAACAATTAATTTTTATTTCACAATTTATGCAACTCATACACACATACTTAATGCAAATTTAGTGAAAATATCAGAACATGAGAATTAAAATTTAAAACAAAAGTCAAATAGCCATAATTGGAATTTAATAAATTAAATTGATTGAAGTCTGGCATTATTAAAAAACAAAACATTATTATTCTACGTTCAAATATAAAACTAAAATATAAATATAAACTTGAATTTTTATTATTATATTTTTTATTTTTAAATTCTGTTAAATAAATAAATTATTAAATAAAAAATATAAAGTTATAGAAAAAATATTATAATCTGAAAATAACTATTTAATTAATTAATAATTATTTAAAATATTTAAAATGTTTTATTTAAATAAATAAGTAAACTATTCTTCTTTCTTATTATTATGTTCAAATTAATCTCTCTATATGTTCAATGAGATATGAACTACCAGTCACAGTTTTTAAATAATAACAATATTCTTCTGTCATGTACAATATATTTTTAATAGAGAGCAGCAGAAGTTTATAAATGTTCAATGATAGGTTTTGTTTTAATTTCATTAACAAAAAAATTCATTGAATAATGGCATCTCTTCACATTGAAATATATCCGAAGAGTTGAGATTGTATAATTTAAATAAAAATATACTGTTACACTTTTATAACGTTTTGAAAATGGTCGCTTGTTATACATGACACAATATATATCCGGATTATTTTCGCGCTCTATTTCGCAATTCATATATTCCACTAAACGAGATGTATAATAGGAATATCCACGAAAATACCGAGGACAATTTGATCCGTGCTCGCGCGATGTTGTCGCGTCGCGAAAAACAAGTCGTAATAACGAGCATAATTCAATGTCTCTCGCATGCGCTTCATTAATAAATTATTCAAGCCGGGTTATTGAAGCATTCGCGAACTCCGTCAGCACCTTCGTTCCTCGCGGATGACGAAGAGCCTTATTATGCGGAACCAGTACCTCGTATTCTGTTAACGCGGGCGCTTGCGTATATATTATACAATACATATATATTTATATGTATACGCGCGCGAACTTTGCGACCGCATAATTGCTAAGAGTTTGATAGAACGGCAAGTTTCGAACGCGGCCGAAAGCTGGGAAGGGACAGCTGCGAGCATAGACTAAAACCGATATTCTCTGATTACGGCGAATACACGAGGCAGGTACATGAGGCCGGAAACCTATTAGAATGATAAGAATTAAGAGTCATTAAGCGTTAGCCATAAGAATGAGGAGGGAAGAAAAATCTGCTAAGATATGAAAATATGGCAGAATACATGGAAAAAACAGTTTTGCGTATTTAAAAATGTATTTAAAAAGCTAGATACAAATCTAAAAAAATTATTTTGTTGGATTATTAAAATAATTATGTAGGGGAGAGAGAGACGCTCAAGCATAATGAATAATACTACAAAAAATTTTTATATTTATGTATTTCAACTATGGACTGACTGTTGCAATTAATACATACACAGAAAATAACTTTAAGCTTTTACAGAAGTATTAAAAAATTTAACTAAATGCAGTAGATCTAAAAATAATTTTGTTGAATTATTAAAATAATTATATGGGACACTTAAACATGACGAGTAATGTTGTAAAAAATTTGAAAAATATCATTCTATTGCTAAGAAAAATGATTACTCAGTTCTTTTTAATGATTATCTTTAACAAAGCATATTTTTTTTATGATAGTCTTAAATTGTTGTAAAATACACTTATTACAAATTTAAAAAAACTTTTTTTTACAATATTATAAAATTTTATTGCAGATTCGACTTTATATTTATAATAAGTTAATCAAACTTGATTTTATTCAATAATCTTGATAGAAGTATTAAATTTATTAAGTTCAGAATATATATTGTGAATATATGTTGAATGAATTTAATGCTTATGATAAACTTATAATGGATTTGCAGATATACGAACTATTGAAATAGTTGAAACGAGTAATTATTATTTGAACACAGTAGTGTTTTCTGTGTGTCAACTTGAATATTTTACATAATTATTTTGATAGTTTAACAAAATTATTTAGATCTGTATCTAACTTTTCAGATACTTTAGCAGTTTTTTTCGTGTAGATCTTTGCTATTTATCATATCCTCGTATTTCCTTTTACAAATTCGATTTCTAATTTGGATCGCGAACAACGGAACTATACACGCATTTCGGTGTATACAAAACTTTTCCGATTCACTATCAGCCCTGAATAGTTTTAACGATTGTATACGTGAACGGCTCGGGTTTACGAGCTGTCTATGTGAATAGTTAACGTCAACAGCTCTTCTGAGGGGAACAGCGATGGTTAATAAAATAATTTCGCACGCTACAAAGCAAGGTCCGATGACAGTCGGTACGCTTTGGGAATTCATTTCGGAGCGGAAATTGCAACTTGCGGATTGGCCAGGTCAATTCGGAATTCTGGCGCCTCGAAACGACACGGTACTTAATCGTCGCACGACAGAATTATATTAATTCCACGAAGTCGAGAGCAAATGAGAATTTAGCCAGACAAGCACATTTTTATTACTTGGTAATTGAAATTACCTTAAATCTTTTGATGCTAATTTGGAACAGTTCGCCCGGTATGAAAAGGCATAGAAATCTTCCGTCGTTCGAATTGCTTTCCAGCAATGTAATTAAAATCCATATAGATTCGTTAATCAACGCAGATTTAATGCACGATATATATGTACACTGTACACAGAAAGAACCATTTTGCTGAAGAGAGAGTACCTAAAAAAGACCCCATACTAATTATGTAAAAAATTAGGTCTTGAGGAGATTTTTTTTACTTTTTAATTAGTTTTCACATACCTATAATTTAGCTTATAATGTGATGAACAAAAGATGTCGTTGATATAAGGCTCAATGATGGATAATTTTTGAACTATTAAGTATCAAAAGTCATCTGTGAACACAAGCTTTACAAATTGTTGAGCCTTATACTTATCTTTTGTTATATAATCTTTTGTTTACCACATATTTATAAATTACATTATATGTGAAAACTAATTTGTTTTACCGGGACTCAGTTTTACATATAATTAGTGTCCTTTAGCTAGATATACATCTGAAAACTTTGTTGGAGTCATCAAAATAATTATGTAGGACGCTCAAGCTGGTTGTTAGAATGTTAAAACTTTTTGCTGCATTGCTCATAATGAGCTTGAGTTTCCTACAAAATTATTTTGATAGTCTAGCAAAATTATTTTCAGGTCTATATTTTTCTAAATTTTTAGGTATTCAGCAAAGTTCTTTCTGTATATATGTATATTAATTAATCTCAGCGGTTGGTCAATTCGTTGTTTAAAGAAATGACAAAAATGTTCGCCGTTTTAAATATACGAAAAGTAAAATTTTTAATTAAACCACTTCAGTCGATGAAGACATGACGAGCGAAACCTCTATTGAAAATATATGACATGTCGTTGTCTCATGTCGCTCGTAAAATGCATCGATGAAGACGAAGCCGACGTATTCTTAGGAGCAAAGACTCACCATTTAGGACATGAACCCTGATGGACGCCGTATTGGCGTTACTCGGCTTGCAGCTGTACTCCCCGGAGTCCGAGGGCTGCGCCGTTTGAATGAGAAGCCAGGAGGTGGTGACGTCGCCACCCTTCTCGGTTATCACGGAGACGCCGCCCCTGGGACTGTCGTAGCTCAGGACGTTCTCATTGTAGTACCAGAAGATGAAGGCTGGTGGCTCCGAGCTGAAGCGTATGGCACACGTCAGGTTTATCGTGCTGCCTGCACCGACGTACAACTCGGGGCCGCCCAGTATCGTCGCTGTAGGTACTGTGATAAAGAAGAATTTTCTTTCGTCTTCCTTACTCCATTCTTTTTGTTCCCCTCGTTCTTCCCGTGCCTCTATGTTGCCCGATCCCACTCTCTCTTAATCATTTATCTTGACTTGGATAAACTCAAAGATCCATACGTGACAACCTTTTGAGAACGGTATATTTAGCGAACGAAAAGAACGAGGTATCTTTAAAGCCACTCGTGATTCGTGAGAAATAATGAGATGTGAAGTTCCATAATAAATACTATGTAAGTCAGGGTAATTGAAATAATGAGGGTGACACTGTCGACGTTTACCTCTTCTAGCGTTAGATTTAACTCCGGGATTATCGTTAAAGTGAATTTTCATTAAGCGTAACCTTTCTTCGTTAAATTTACTGATTCATAACGTCCGAATATTTTAATGAACAAAAACTATAATATATTTACACGTTCTAGTATATCGATCAGTATTCGGTCACGAATAATGTCTATTTTTTTAACGTTTATTTTTTTACGCTTATTCCGTCAATTTACTCTTTTTCTCTATCCTTTTATTAATCATAATATTAATTCAATCTCGTTGCGAGTACAGAAATGGATTTTTTTTTAAGTTAAAAGCGAGCATGCCGCTTCGCTATTACGCGAACCAATATTACGGACTGAGGCTGAAACGTGCACCATAAGTGTTTTTGGGAATTTCATTGAATGGTAGAACGCACGCAATACGATGAGTGAGATTAGATTTAACGATATATGAAACTTACCAACGACGTTCAAGTGAAACTGATACGATTTGATAGGTATGGTGGAAATCTGACATTCGTAGATTCCCTGGTCACGCTCCTGTGCCCATTTTATGCAGAGGGTCCAGTCGGACCATTCGTTGCCGTGGCCCGTGTTTTGTCTGTGTAGTGCTTGAAATCGTTGGTCACTTGTGTACGTGTACGCTCCCGCCGTCAGGATGTGGATATCCCTGTGCCTGACCCAGGATACCTTCGCAAACAAAGTTGGCAATAATGGTGATAAATGATAAATCGATAGTCAATATCGGAGTGTCCGAGCTGTCTTTTATTGACTACACTACATTTCATTTAAACAATTGAGTGATCTCAATACCGTGTGTTTCCTATACTTATAACACATGTAATTTTTATTGTTTTCTTTTACATGAAAGATATTTTTTAATTTGTACTTAATAATCTATACTGAAAGATTTTTTCAGTATATTTAAAGATAAATATTATAGAGCTTTTAAGATATTATTTATGCTCTTAATACGAGACATTATCATGTCTCCTGATGTTTGTCTAAGTCTTTGAATTGGCTTGAGAGCTAAAAACCTTCTGTACTGTATGTAAATTATATTTTACATCTTTTACTTATTTTTATACGAAAAATTGTACCTGTAATTGTTCCGTGATCTCCAATAAATTGAAAAACATTCTAATCTTGAAAAACTTAATGATAGCAACTATATAGAATCCGCTATTTAAGTTTTACGTAATGTAGAATTAATGTACATACATAGTTTCATAAATTATATTTTATAGTTCGAATAACTATGTAATAGTTTTCAAATTTATGTATATTAATTCTATATAATGTAAAAAATTTGTGTAGTTGTCATCTATATAGTTGCTATCTAGATATGTATTCTTCTCTGAATAAAAGAATAAAATTACAAATTTCCATATTAGTTTTACAAAGTAGAGATAATAAAAAAGTTATTCTTTACATTTCCATTTATCATTTTTATATTATCTTCCAAATAACGAATTAACTGCATATATAGAAATAATTTTTATATAGACAGAACTTCATTTTTGCGGCACGAATTTAACGCGTTGTTTTAAAATTCTTTCCGGCAAGAGTAACTTAACTTTCGGAAAAATACGCTCATTGGAAACTCATCTCGATAACTCTGATAACCATTCGTGTCGGATTTTTTGCATCATGAAGTGCTTCGTACAGTACGCCTGACCAACTTTACCGCGATCCTGGAACGGAAGGAGTGAACGAGAGAATCCGTCTATTTCCTTGCCCGCAGAACGCCGAAAGCCACCGACCCGTGTCGAAACGTAAGAAAAGTTGCAGAGGAATACAGAAAGTTTCCCGATGAGAGTTTCGGGCGCTTCCTCCGTTGCCAGCGCACGCAAAGCAGATTTCCAGGCACCAGCGTCTCTCGTTCACGCGGTGCTGGCGTCAGAGTGTGAGACTTCGAGAGTCTTCGGCGATTTTCCAGGAAAGACTTCGAACGGGAAATAAAAGGATTCTGCGGAACGCGGAGCGATCCAGGCGTCTTCTTACATTCAAGATCCTCTCGGAAATTCTTCAGAAATAATATTATCTTAGAGCCACCTTTCTGACATTTCAGCCCTATGCATTTTTTCTCGTGCGACTAACTTTTTTACCTTGAAGGTAGAATTAACGAGTCATCTCTCGCGCGCGATATTATTAAACTTTGAATTGAATTAATCCTAAGCGAATTACGCTACGTATTGCAGATGCTATAAATATAAAATTACGAAGTGATACGAATTTGCATAAAGATCAGTTTGTGCATTTCAAATATTATTTCTTATATAATTTAGATTAATCGCGTTGCATTGATGAATTTTTAATTGTAAGAGAACATCACACCGAGTTGTCTTAGAAAATTGTAATTATCATTTTGAATAGGTACAATAAAAGGACCGGCTTAATCACACCATCCGTTCTTTCGTGAAATACATCGCGATGATAAGTGAATGGGGACAAGAAATTAAATTTTACTCGTGAAGAAAGTTCGGTCACTTAAAAGTTAAACTGTAAGAAAAGGCACTTTCGTCGAAGCTCACCGTCTGTTTTAATATTCCCGAGGACTATTGCGCAGAGACTCGTCGAGCTTTCACGAAGTGTATGCATTTCTATTCCAACAAAGCGAGTACTTTTATTTTTCTATAGTTTTCAGATATGAAGTATGTAGAGAATTATAAAATCTCTGCATGCGAAAAGAAATGGTGTTATTATAATATATAGCAATAGATTATAAATGATAAAAAATAAATTGTATTTCTCTTTCTCTCCCTTTCCTCCTTTCTCTCTCATTCAAAGAAATTATGAGATTGATATTTTTCTCTCAATGATCTTTATATTATTAAGTTTAATTGCCTGAAAATTATACTTGTTATATTATTAACTGCATTAATGTGTGATTAATTAATTAATCTTGGACACAACACTGAGAAAAATGGCGTAGTTGGATTAAATAGTAATTTTAATGGAAAACGGACGAATCAGAATTTTTTTATTGAATCTACTATTATACTTGAGATAACTAGAATTCTAATTGATATAATTATTTTAATAAAAATAAGAATTTTAGTAGATTTTACCAAAAATATTATATCAATTAGAATTCCGATTACCTCAACTAGAATTATAATAAATTTACGCAGAAAATTTTGATTTGTCCATTTTCAACCAGAAATTTTTTTCCAAGCATATATTTATTCTTTGACACTCAATTTTATACAAATATGTGTACTAATAAATTTTCATGATTTTAAAAATCGCAAACAAGTCAAATTTTTAGATGGAATACGCTATATGTGCGTATACATATATGTGTATTTAAACATACGTATTGTGTATAAACACAAAGTTTTAAAACGTCATAGTTCTTTCTCTTTCTGTCTCTCTCTTTTTGAAAAGTTAAATGACATTTTTCGCTCAATAATTTCCATATTAAGTATTCTTGCTCTCACTAAAAAAAGATTAAGATTATAATTGATATTTTCATATTATTGAATTTAATCAACTGAAAATTATAGTTGTTATACATTTTATTACTAAATGCATTAATGTTTATCAAAGTAATTAGAGTTTAATTAGAGAAATATACATATATACACACACACATATATATATAAACACATGTTTAATGAAACGTCATAGTTTCTCTGTCTCTCTCTCTCTCTCTCTTTCTGAAAAGTAAACGACATTTTTCGCTCAATAATTTCCATATTATTAATTTTGATTGGTTGAAAATTATGCTTGTTATTTATTTTATTATTAAATGCATTAATGTATGCCGAATTAATTAGAATTTAATTAGAGAAATGTATATAAACGCACGTGCTTTCTGTGTACCTTGAACTTGTATCTTTTAAACATTCAATCGTATATTACATATATGCATCGCTAAATGCTTCTAAATCATAGTGCTCGAAAAATCATGCGTGCAAAACACCCGCGTTAAAATAATTTATCGTTATCGCCTGTCAACCATCCATCCCGAAAGCAATCGCGAGGCAATGGTAGCAAAACCATAACATTGGAATTCGCGGTAACGGTAAGTTTGACGCATATTAACGTCGAGGTTTTCGTGCGCCGGGTTGCGCGTCCCCAATGCGGGAAATTTCAACCCTCTGCCTTTTCCCCTACCGGAGGGATTGGTCTTTAGGAGTATGGGCGGCTTGGCTGTTCGTCGATATTTTCACAGAGCTCCGACCTCGTATATAAACCGGGCGAGGTCAGGAGTGTGTCGGTTCGGCACACTGTTCCCCATTGCGCACGTATATACGCGTCGTGCAAATGCCGTTTACATATGTGCCCGACGTTGGCACCACTTAGCGTATTTACTCAACGAAGTTTACGTCTTTCGTGGTGTCTGGCTAGCGGTAGCTATTGCATGGGAACAAAAGCAGTTTAGCGCTTCCCAACTTATCCATCGGGACGAATGGGGCGACTCGTGGACGCGCCGGCGCGAGGAACGGGAGAGGAAACACTGCATCCGCGCGAAAACTGCAAGAAGATGTCGGCAATGATGAATGTCGAACGTTAAGTGAAACCAAAGCGAGCGTAACGTGTGGCAAATGGTTTCTCATATTGCTTGTAAGGTGAGCTAGCCGGATGCATGCCTTTACTTACAGAAAGCACAAGAAGTTTACGAACGTCTTCCACCCCTTCCTCTGTTAACAACTTTAAATTATTATAGTATATTTTTTGAATTCAAAAGATAATTCTAGCTTAAAACGCAATTAAAATTTTTTCGAGTTTCATTTCTATTGATAAACTATATGGGGTTCTGGTAATTATGCCATGCGGGAATATACACTGCAGAACTTCTGCAGCAGAAGTAAAAAAAAAATAGAAGTGGGGTAATTTGCAACCATTCTATTGTATGTCTTTATACAATATTATATTAAGTCCATCTCTATTCTGCAGCAGAAGTAAAAATGCAAAAGTTTATTCTTTTTTTTTTTATTTTTTTCTATTTTCATAATCGTTTCTTTTTCATGAGCACTTTTGAGCTGATTGTTGAGCGTGCGGTTATCTATATTGTTAGTTGATGCTTTTTGCTGATTCATCTCATGGAATTTAATGGTTTTGTAGCTTTATTTGTGAATATCTTTCTTTTTGTCAAGTATATACTAACTGCTATCTCGTTCAATATCGACACAGTAATTGTTAACACGCGCGTTGAGAGATACTTTGTGACGCACGTCAGAATATATTTCTAGCCTGAAAACGATGGCACAAAATGTGTCTTCGCAAATCTTATTTAGAATTTTACAATATTCTTCGATGTTATTTGAAATCTCATTCAAGTAAAAACAAATCTTTATTTACAGTCTTTCCACTAATATTGAAAATAATCGTGGAGTTAATTTATTGAAATTTAATTGTAAAGTTAAGTTGCAAAATATTTGCTTTTATAAATATAAAATATAGGCATTTTAACTTAAATAAAATGATCAAAGATTAAACGTACACGATGTATGCTGCGAGCGTTTTGTTTTTTGTTTGTGTGGTTTTCTGTACGAAATTATTGTATAATTCGCGAAATTGTTGACAAAGAACGCATCACGAATTCTTGTGTTAATAATGGAAATATAAATAATTCCACTTTTTAAATAAAATTTTTATTGCTTTATTATTTTGTAGAATATTGTATTTTCACTTCAGTAATTTCGCCTCTTTGCCTTTTTTTTAATATCCACATGAGCTGCATTGCGTGGAATTTTGCTGTTTTTCTCCTGATAATCCGATAGCGTTAGCGCGCTAATCAGACAGGCGTTTGTATCACGAAATATGATTAAAAGCTCTCTCTCCCCTTTTGATATCACGTTACATCAAGTATATATCGGAATTTAATCTATCAACATTGAATGAAGATAATTTCAGTATTGTGCGTTTCCTGAAACATTCGATTGTATGCATGCCTTCAGTTAAGTACCGAAAATGCAAAATATGTGTGTACGTGCAATATATGTAGAATATATGTATTAGATTTATTATATTTATAAAATATATTTCCTTTCGCAAAGCATTTTATATTATTAAAAAAATATATTAGAAGACAGATTTGACAATTTTAATATTTTAAGGATTACTAAACTCTTTTGCAAATGCTGCAAAGTTTTCATTAAAAGGAAAAAATATCTAATTTCTTTTAAACCCAATAATATATTATAATAAGATATATTTTTGAATATTGTTTTTAACTAATAATTATTTAATTAACATTTGTTTAAAATATTTCTTATATTAGGAATATATAGTATGACATTTTTTAAATAAGGAAATAATGAAAAACATTTTTTTTATTAAAAGTACTTTGAGGAAAAATAAAATATAATAAAAACTAATATTTCTATTTTAAGTTAAGAACTATTTTATTAAATATTTAGAATATCATAGTAATATTTAATACTTTTTTGGCAAACATTATTTTTGAAGCGACATTCCTGCAATTATTGATTGAAAAGTGATATAAATTATTGTTTTCTTTTGTTGTTACAACATCCGATAGCAATTGATAGTTATTTGATACGATTTTACGAAACAAAATCTAGTGAAATTATGTCTAGTGACCTATATAAGTGTTTATAAAATTGATCACGTCCTGACTATCTGTTTCCAAGTTTTGTATTTATTGTTTTACGTATAAATATAAATCTCGTCGAAAAGAAACATCAGCAATATATTCAGAAGAGAAATTATTTTTATTGCCATTTTAAATGACCGAAAAAAATCTCTTTGATATATGTAGTTCTTATCCTGTATATTTTCATTTAATCATTTAATACAAGCAACAAAGTTCTTATTCTGATTATTTTTAGTGTGACGTTAGAATAATTAATTTTTCTTAGCTTTCCTATAGAATTAAACGTAACAAACATTTTTAAAACGTTTCAAACAAAGAAAACTAATTCATAAAATGTGGAGAACGGAACAATTTATACATATTTTTAAGATGTAGAGTGAATTAGTAATACTTGCTCATACTTTAGCAATACTTACTTATTGGCTTTGCAACAAGTAGCCTTAGGGAAAACTAAACTAACTCGTAAATTGACTTTCGCGTTGCGATAGCTTAACCACTAGTGCGCGAATAATTAAATTGCTTTGTGAGAAAACAGAAATGCGGAAAAATTTTTCAGCGAAATCCTGATTCTATCATTAAACATAGTTACTACGTAACGCAACAAAACAACAATAAAGAAAGTCAATTTTTTTCGTTTATATATGTTTATTGTGGCCGACGCTTTTGCAGACGTTGTACAATAGTGTTTCAATTAAATCTTCTCTCCCTTTCTCTTGTTTTAATTTTTTTATCGTTTTAATTATTCCGTTAAAATTAAATACAATAAAATATTTTTTTAAATAAAACAATTTCTAAAAAATATATTATTGAAGTTCATATATTATTATTTTTATTCGTTCGCATCTTATGTTTAATTAATTAGTTCTCGATAAAAAGTTTAATAAAGTGCTACTTCTTTTTGTTGGCTTCTTAATCTTTAATCTTTATTCTCAATGGTTATATCAGAAATTTTCTAAAATATTACTGAAGAAAATATAAAATAAAGTTTTGTTAACTGTTTCTACCACTGAAGTGTGAATAATTTAATTTAAGTTGAGGGAGCTTTTAATATTTTCAATTACTTAGAGTTCGAGAACTATTAGCGACTCTTGTTATTAACGAAAGGTTCCAATTGAAATAGTTTATTCTAATTCAATATGAAATCCATTGTAATTTTTTCGGGAGAGATTTGCAAAATCTTGTGTAATGTTTTACTTTTGTCAAACATTTTTCTTCTTTTCTATAATTTTTTATAATTTTCTATTATTTTTTATAAAACGTGGAATCGATTTTAAGTTGTTGCTGTTATAAGGATCTTTATTGTCATCGTTAGAACAGAGTAACTAAATCCCTGGTTTATATGAAGGAAAATACTGTTTAAAATGAATATGAATCGACATTCAAAGTGATATACAAAGGATGCATTTATTTGAAATAAACAATGAAACTGAATATATTTTAGAAAAATCATCGGTACATCTTTGAAAGATTACATTTGTAATGATGTGCGTAAATTCGATCAATTCGACCACCATAGTTCTGATCGTTCCTTTTAATTGAAATTAATAACAATAGTATTGTGTCTACGAGAAAATTGAGTTTCTAGTTACTCCTAAGGTCAATTAACGTTCAATCGAGTCCGCGCAACTCGATTATTTCCTGCAAATCATTTCTTTTAAAATTCTTTTATGGAGATCGGTTGATCCTGTCTACCCTTTGCGTGAGAGAGAATGTGTGTGTGTGTGTGTGTGTGTGTGTGTGTGTTTGACGATAGTTTAAATGCCTTCATAAGCTTAATTTAAATCTATAACAAGAACGATAATGCTGTTTCAAGAACGTAGCATAATTAAAATTTGTTTAATAATTCCTAATTATAAAATGAAAAATAATTCCTTTTATAAATTGAAGATTCTTATCTATTCTATATAACAGCTGCAAGAAATATTTCAAGCAGGGTGAACGCTCCTATTATGTAGACGATATCTTTGTTTCGTAATTTATAATTTACAAGGCAATGTAATGAAGGTTCTTACGGTCTTGTCGCCTAGATTGCGAACCCGGCACGTGAGGTATGCAGTTTTTCCAATCAGGGCCGTCACGTTGCTATTCTGTGTGAAGTCGAAGGTGGGTTCCGGTTTCGACTTCGGGCCGGAAGAATGATCCAGCATTTGTTGCCGAGGTCTGGTCTGGATCGCGTGTCTATCCATGTTATCTATCGTCCGATCTCCTAGACTCAGTGTATCTGTAACATGAAAGAAATTTGCTGATTGAGTATTCAGAAGTTGTAGTGTACGCTGAATGATTAATGTTACTCGACAAACCGCGACAAAGGAAAAATATAAATTTTATTTCTATTGCTACACGTTTACGTACTGTATGTTTGATGAATTCCATTGAATTACATTGCATCGAGACGTAGATTTTATTTTAGCATTTTATTTTCTTAATTAGCAAAAAGTTTATTTGATGGACATTTCTGATTATTTCTGAGAAGTTTAATTCGTACTAGTACACGAACTATGTTAATTTCTGTATCAGTTAATTTCCGGTTGACAAATTAGCCTTTAACCAAATTCCGTAGCCAAACAAGCGATTAGTGAAATTTCCGGTTAATTGAAATCTGTAATGGCAGCCATTAAATGCACGAGCGAGGTGTAACAAAGCTCTAAAGTACTCGACACTCGACAAAACATTTACTACTTTTTGAAAAATGTAATACCGTCGATAGCGTATATTTTTCAAGTTAAGCATTAAAAATCTAATAAAAATGTGAAAATAAAAAACCGATCTTTTATCGATTTCAGTTATTTCAATATTCGCAGAAGTCAAATATAAAAGAGGACACAGTTTAATATGCGAGCAACGATCGAACTGTCCTTTGAAATAGAAAGCGATTGGTATTTCATTCAACAATTCGAAACTTTTAATGTCGTCCATTTGTTACAATCATTACTATCGTATGAATAAAAGCGAAAACGTTCACGCTTATATTTCTGAAATTATAAAATATAATGGAATATAAGTATTGCAGAGATGTTTGAAATTGTAATTACCAAGTTATTTACAATGATTGTGTAAATAACATTGCTTTTAAATAATATATATTAATTTTTAATATTTGAAAAAGTTTACAACATTCATTTATATATTTATGCTAAAATATTGACAATAATATACAAACAAAAATTCAAAAGTAAATTTACTATAGAATAGTAGTATAGATTTTAAATAATATTAATATTTTTAATATTTAAAAATGTTAATTTAATATTTAAATAGTATTAATTTTTAATATTTAAAAAAGTTTATGACGTTTATTACAAGTTTGTGCTACAATATTTAATATAATATATGAGAAGAGTTCAGAAAATAAATTATATTTTTTAGCAAATCAAGAATGAAGTTTAAAAAATTAAAAGTAAGATTACAGCGAAAGAAACGTGTTCGAGATATATGTTAAACTTTTGAAGAATCTATGTACGAATGAAGATTATGATTTTTATTTAATTATAATTTAATTGATAAAATGTTAATTGCTGAGAAAATTTAATGGGATCACTCGAGAGCTGTGACGTCAGTGTAGCTGTGCTCAGATGCTGCAAAATGGTCCGTAGCACCCGTGCACTTTGTGCACTGCAAGTTGTTGAGTTAGAAATGCACTCAGGAACGGTCGATATATGTCTCAAAGTAGTAGAAGTGTTTGCTTAGTGTTTGAAACTAACTCTACTGCATATTCCGGATTTAATGGCGGAAGATATATCCATCGCTAACATATGAACTTTATGTTTAGAGTATTTAACTCTTTTCCTATATTGGTTTTATTTTAACAGTATTAATCCGATATTATACTTTTAAAATTAAGATAAAATAAATATCTTCAAAATTTTTCAAATTTTACCTCTGTCAATTTTAATATTTTTAATATTCTGTTATCAAATATTGAATATCATTCAAAATGACTCCCCAGCGACCGAGATTCAAAATAGTCGAGGACGATGACGCCAAAGCATACGATTGACTGCGCCTTTTCAATACACGGATAGAAGGGGGCGAGTAATTTTAACAGGCAAGTGCATACAAAGTATCTATAGTTGAGTAATCAGAGAACTGTAATAGCTATGGGATGTATCTATAGCCGGAGGAAGATTGGATGGAATTAGATTAGATCAGAGCTTATTACGCTTCAGCTTAAGAGTGAATTAGGAATGGCTTGTACGAGTAAGGGACTCTACTTTCGGTTAAGATAAATCTTTCTTCATTGTTTTTCTTATAATACATCACGTTGATGATAATGGAAACTGCCATCTTGAAGACAATGGCGATGAGCCGCAATGTATTATAGAAGTATCTTGTCTCTCGGAACACTGAGTAGTTGAACGAACTTTAAAACACTAGTATAGCTCTTCAGCTTTGGCATCTTCGCAAGATCTGATACGTATTAAAAGTAGAATGTTCCTTCTTATAACTATCTCGAGTAAGTGTACTCTTCTCTAAAAATTAGAGTAATCAATCTTCAGTTTTTATATATTCAAATAAATATTATTCTGAATTGCCTTACAACTTCTCATAAAAAATTTTTGTTATGTAAAAATTCTGCTTTAAGCGTATTTAGATTAATATATTATATTCTGTTTTATTTATTTTTATTATAATTTTGTTCATGGCTTATTTGCATTTTCAAAGTTTTACACGAAGATTTAAACATTTTAATTATTTAATGAATTCATTTATATGAGTCAAAAAGGAAATTATATTAAAATAATAGATACTCTGTCATTTTCTAATCTAATATATGATCGATAAAATACAATCGTATTTATGTGTTTTCTGGAGGAAATAGATCACTGAGCTCTTTATTTTAATTTTAATAACGAAATCGTTGAAGCTTTGTTTCTCGTAGGATAGTAAAGGGAGGAGAGTGAAGTTGTTAGTTTGATGTCAACGCATCCGAATGGAAACGGTAGATTGTAACCCCTCTAATTAACGAGGACATATCGCAGCGAGCGAGCAAAAGCTGATAGCCTACGTGGAAAACTTTGCACTTCATTAGCTTTCCACCGAGATACGCCTCAGGTGCGGCAGTCTCATGCTCCAACAATGTGATATCCGTGCAACGAAGTGTGCGTGTGTGCATGTATGTGTGGGGATGCTCTCTCGAATCTCGATATACGAAGACAGCCGTGATGATATATAAGGGGCGAGTTCTAGGAAAGCCAAAGAGAAGGACTCCCTGGAGTGCATGGAAAAGCTCGTTATAAGCTCTTCGGTCTTAGTTGCCGCTACGAAATTAATTAAAGCAAGTGCTCGCTCAGGCGGGCGCGAGATATCAAGAAATGTCCTTTTGTTGGTTGCATAGAGAATTCGCGTGCGGGGCATCATTCGCGAGAGATAATGAGCGACGGGTGGGTGTATTCTTACGAATGCCGAAGTGCACTTAAGACTAGGAA